TTTTTTTTTTTTTGGTAAATCAAAACAATTGTCTTCTGCCTTATATAGTTCCTTATAAATGTATTGCTAATTGCATGCTATAAAAACGTTATAATTTAGCAAAGATTTTAATATGTGTTAGAATATACTTATCATATATTCTATATGTATGGTGTATCATATTACTTGTAATTATCTTGAGTCATTGTATTCGTATCATACTGCTAACAATTAGTTAGGTTTGCTTAGTCAAAGTTTATCCCACTTGTTAAGGGATTCAGTTAGGATATTCTGCCTAACTTCATAGCTTGTATTATGTATATATTCTAGTTTTGATAATACAATCTCCACGGAATTAATTTCCTTCAATATGTTTTGAAGAGGCTATGGATCTTGAAAATGCTAGGGATTTTATAACAATTATAAAATGCTATATATTATACTAGTAGATATTTCAATTAAATAATAATCATTCATTGATTAAATGGATAATTATGCCACTATAATTTATCAATTTAATGATTTCGCCCCCTTATTTTTAGAGCTATCATTGATTAGTCTTATCGTATGATTTTATATTTTGTTATGTGTATGTCATCTGTTCACTAATAATAATCTAAAAAGATTTCAATTACTCGTAATATGACTTATTTTGAATATATCTATTTAAGCTATTTCTAAATCTGCATTTATTATTTTTTACTTGTCATGCTATGTTTATATCTTATACTCCATATTATAGATGACAAGCATTTGGTATATAGGTATATGAAGCTCACTCCTAAGGAAAGTTGAACAAATTTTGATTTGTTATGGAAAGTACATGTTGGGTGATAAGTCTATCTAAGCTAGCTAGCTGCTCAAGGAGCCTAACTTTGATTAAATTAGTGAATTTGATGAATATGAATTAAACTTTGTGGCCTAATTTTTTTTTATGGGAATGCAATGAAGACTTTGACGATGATCGTAATATGCCGGTACTTTATGAGTGAGATTACTTGAATTTGGGTGATGATATAATGTTATTGATCACATGAATATTTGTTTAATTTAAACATATTTGACATCATTATCAAGAGCTAAAATTTATGAGTATGATTTGGTTCTTTGATGATATGTAGCATTGTTTCCAATTAGGGTTCAAAGGACACGTGTCACCAAGAGATTGGGCCTTGGCTGACCAATGAGGGTCTGACACGTGTCAAGGGCTTGTTGGGCCACGTGTCTAGGGTAATTTTTACCTTAAACAGTAACCAATCACCCACCCCACCACACCACCGTAACCCCATTAGCCACCCCCTAACGCACCCCACCACCGTAACCCACCACCGCCTAACCACAACCTAAACACCCACGCCTAACCCGGTTTACCCCACCATAACGCACCAACCCGAACCCACATCACCACCCACCAAAAAAACCCCTAACCCGTGAAAAAAAAAAACAAAATTCATAACATAAAATAAAAAAATAGATATTAAAAATGAAATGAATAGATCTAAAATCAATTATTTCAAAAACAAAATGTTATACATTAAAAAAATAAAACTAGATCTAATTCTAACCAAAATTAAATGTAGATCTGTTTTGGTGTTGGTGTTGTCGGAGGTTGTTGCGGTGGTGGTGTTCTTGCGCAGCCTTGATGTAGCCGGTGGTTGTTACGGTGGTGTTCTTGGCGGTTGTTGCAGACGGTACGGTGGTTGTTCGTTGTAGTGGTGGTGGTGTTTTGTGACTTCCGTGTTTTTAGATTTAGGAGGGATGAGAAGATAAGGAGGGATGAGAAGAGAAGAAGAAGAAGAAGAGGGAAATTAAAGGGAAAGAAGAAGAAGAAGAACAAGCGAGGAGGTGAGGGAAAGAAAGAGAAAGAAGAGAGGAGAGAGAAGAAGAAGAGGGGCGTGGAGAGAAAATAGGAAAGGGAAGAGAGTTAGGTGGGGGGAGTGCCATGTTTTTAGATATAGAATTAGGTTTTTTTTTTCTTTTTTTTTTATTTAAAAATAAAATTCCGTCGGAAAAGGCCTAAATTCCATCGGAATTTTCCGACGAAATTAAAATCTGTCGGAAATTTTCCTACGGATTTAAAACGGGAGGAAATTAATATGTTCCGACGGATTTTTTTCCCTCGGAATTTAAAGCTTCTGTTGGAAGAAAGTTTCCGAGGGAATATTTCGACGGAAGCAGTAATTCCAAGGGATAAAAAATCCGTCGGAATATTTTCGAGGGATTTTCCGTCGCAATATATATTTTCCGACGGATTTTTTTGACAGACCAAAATTCTGTCAGAATATTCGAATTTTCCAACGGAATTTAAGTCCATCGAACAAATCCGTCGGAAAACGGCCTATTTCTAGTAGTGTATTCTACGAGATTTTGATGGAAACTAATAATCTCACCTTTGCCGTTTCTGCTCAAAACAATCCCACCTTTTCGAAATCTGGAAACAATCCCAACTTTAACACCCATCTACTCAAAACAAGCCTTTTACCGGTTTGTGAAATTGGTAGCCTGCTTCAGAAGGTGACTTGCCACGTGTCACCTTCTAATTGATTTTTTAATAATTTAAAAAACAAATAAAGGAATATAAAAAAAATACCCTTTTTCCCTTCCCTTCCCTGCCACAGCCCTCGTCCCTTTGCCGAACCAGCCGTCCGCCGGACCCAACCACCCTCATTTTACTGGAGCAAATTAAACCCACTTAAACGTACTCTGTGTTAGTCTCCATTAAAGTGGCAAGTGAGCTTTCTCAATCTTTCCCATTTAAGTGGCTTAATTAAGGCTTAACGATGGTTCGTTTTGGGTTAGGGGTGGGATGTGAGGGTGGGAGTTCAATTTGCGTTGTGTTTCACGGGATGTTGGATGAGGGTTTTGTGTGGGGTGGGTGGGATTTGCTGATTTTGTGGCCTATGGTATGGTTGGGAGTACGTGGTGGAGGTTAGGCGGGTTGCTGAGGTGGGTGGTCGGGTTTTTGGGGTGGGAATTCTGAGGTTTCGAGGTTGGGTAGGGGGATGCTGGACCAGGCGGGGTTGGGTGGGGGTTCTTCTAGTGAGGTTGGGTTAGGTGGTGGTGTATGTGGTGGTGTTGATGAGGTGGTGGTTATGGAGGGGGTGATGACAATGGTGGAGCTGCCATTGAAGAGGTTAAGGAGGAAAGCTTAAGAAATAAAAAAAAAAAAAAACTATTAACCTGTTAAACAGGTTATGGGTAAAATTGGGGGTCAAAGATGAGATTATTTCTAGAATTCGAAAAGGTAAGATTGTTTTTGAGCTAAAGTTGCAAAGGTGGGATTATTAGTTTCCATTTTTCCTTAAATTAATTGATTAATCGAATTTTCAATACATGAGAAATACTCCGTACAAATTTCTAAAAAATATACGTTTGAGTTGTTTGGCTAGTATGGCTGCATGAGTATGCTACTATGGTAACTACCTTAGAACTACACTTCAGTTCAATAGAAGTATAGAACAACTGTCATACATGCATGCTACCAATTGACCACTAAATCTTTTGCAAATGCGACCATTGTGTGAATGCATGATTCAATAAATTTGGTCAAGGTTTGTCTCAAATAGTCTTCCTGAATTAATTTTGGTCAAAGTATGTCATACATATTTCCTGAATTATTTTTGGTCAAGATATGTCCCACATAGTCTTCCTGAAATAATTTTGGTCAAAGTGTGCCACACATATTCTTCCTGAATTAATTTTGGTCAAAGTGGGTCACACATATTCTTCTTGAATTATTTTTTGGTCAAGATATGTCCCACATAGTCTTCTTGAAATAATTTTGGTCAAAGTGTGCCACACATATTCTTCCTGAATTAATTTTTGTCAAAGTGGGTCACACATATTTTTCCTGAATTATTTTTGGTCAAGATATGTCCCACATAGTCTTCCTAATTAAATTAATTTTGGTCAAAGTATGTCACACAATTCTTCCCGAATTGAGTTTATGCTAGTTCACAAGTTGTTCCCATTCTCCTAGGTCAAAATGAAAAGTGATTTTGGAACTCAATGTTAGAAACGAAAACTGATTTTTGACATCCCCTCTATTTTATATTAATTTACGTGTTTTGAATTTTATCAAAACTTTAACTATTAATATATTTGTTATGTATTAGTTGTAAAACTTATAAAAAGCTGATATTCCAATACATAAGTATATATTAATCCCTCCGTTTCTATTCTATTGTTACAATTTGACAATGACAATTGCGATTTAACGTTAAAAACTTTGACTATAAAAATACACTATTATAAAGATTAAAACAATATCATGTGGGATGTTGTTGGATTTGTTTTAAATTAAATTTACTAACTATCAATTTTTATTTTAAGAATTTTCACTCAAATCATATACAAATAATATGTATATGTAGTCAAAAAAATTTGCATTGAAGATCGTGAAAGTCAAAGTGTAACAATAGTAAAGGGACGGAGGGTGTAACATTTTTGTAAGGAGAGGAAGTAACATTTTATATTGTAAAATAAAAAAATATGGTCATAGCTATATTAAAAGTCAAATTGTATCAATTATTGTGGAATGGAGGGAACAAGGGAGTATGTCCGTGCTTTGATAATTAGCTTGCCACACAAAAAAAAAAAAAAAAAAAACTTCCTTTGTTATTTTTTTTAATCACAACATTTAAAATTTCACGCCGCTTGTTAATGCACTTTGTATAACTTTAACATCTTAAGTTGTATTCACTTGTAATTAAGTTGATGATAGTTTGAAAGTATATTGCGAGATGAATTTAATAAGACCTTACATGATTTTTTTTTTAAGTATTTCATTGTTAATATCATAACTTGTTTTCTTTGGTATATTAGGATATTATGTCATATCTTTGATTTGATATTATTGTTTGGAATCTTTTTAACATCCTTATTATTTTCATGTCTATCTTTGCTAGCATTTAATGCTCTTTTGTGAGACTTTAAATAGTTGAATTATTTCATTAATATAATTAAGTTTTCCAACATTATTCTTTTTCTCGTAACTCTATCACTGTAAACTACTATATTTGTGTACTCTTTCCGAAAAATGACTGTCCCATTGTCAACAAAGAAAGTTGTCGTGATCGGCGCTGGAGCGGCTGGGTTGGTAGCGGCGCGTGAGCTTATAAAGGAAGGTCATGATGTAGTGGTGTTCGACCGTGGTGCTCAGCTGGGTGGTAACTGGGTTTACTCGGACGAGGTTGAGTGTGACCCGCTTGGATTCGACCCAACTCGGAAAATCGTTGATTCAAGCCTCTATGCTTCTCTCCGCACCAATACTCCTAGAGAAGCTATGGGTTTTCGTGATTTTCCCTTTGTTCCTACCGGTAATGATATTTTCTCCCTTATTAACTTTTATTTTCTTATTACATAATTGTTGTTGTCATTGTTCGTTGTGAGAAAATCCAAGTTTCTATCCATGAGAAACTTGGATTGTTTATTGACAGGCTAAAGTCGTATCACCTAATCAAAAGTAATTCCTAAAACCGCTAACTAAAATAGATAGGGAAGTAGGGTCGAATCCACAGGAAACAAGTCTTTCTATTCCTAATTAATTAATATAATCTAAATTATCAAGTAACCAATTTGTTTTATGAGAATTAAACTAAAGGAAAATAATTAAACTAAGGCAAATTGAATAAGGGAGGAAATCAATAATAAAAGGCCTAGGGTATAGGTTTTTTTTTTTTTTGAAAGGAGCCTAGGGTATAGGTTCACCAATAAATAATATTCCATGGTAAAACTTAACAATGCATAAATTAATCAGACTGTAAAGGGCTTTCGCTATGTATTACAATCACAGAATTAATCTACCGGTATTAAATCGCATCTCTCGAATCTTGATTTAACCATTTATAAATTAACCTGCCTATTAAAACTAAGCCTAAACATCAATTCTCATCTCTCGAATCTCGAATCAATATTGCATAACTCATACAATTAAACTAGCGCTAATCTAATTGCATAGCAGTAAATCAATCAATAGGAAATTAACCAAAGCATTAACAATCAACAATAATAAATTACCCCTTCATATTATTTATGGATCCCCACAAACCCTGGAATTAAACTACTCACACCTAATTAAATCTCCACTAATCAAAGCAATAAAGCAAGACATAATTAAATCAAAACAATTAAATTACTAAAAGTAAAGAGGGAAGAAATCTTTACCAAAATTAATGGAAATAATGAATTGCATAAAACTCAAGAGTGTAGAGAGAAAAAGTGTAGAGAGAGAAAGTAAGAATATTCGCCAAAGCTTAAAACTAATAATCCGAAATTTAAGTAAAGAGTATATGAAAAAACGTGCTTAACTTCCTAAAATAAAACGTATTTATACTTAAACTAAAAAGATAAAACAAATTATATCAATTAACCATTCAGATTAAAACGCCCGGTCGGGCAGCATCACGCCCGGTCGAACGCGCCTCCAGGCGAAGGCTTGCCCGGTCGGGCGCACCTCCGGGTGAAGGCTTGCCCGGTCGGGCGCACCTCCGGGTGAAGGCTTGCCCGGTCGGGCGCACCTCCGGGTGAAGGCTTGCCCGGTCAGGCACACCTCCGGGTGAAGGCTTGCCTTGCCGGGCGCGCCTCCGGGCGAGGGCCCGCCCTGCCGGGCGAGCTCCCGGGCAAGCTTGGATTTATTCAATTGGGCTGTTTCTTAGCCCAATTCGCATTTCCTCTTTGGAATCTGAATACATGGTCCATTGCCCTAGACTATTCTTCTTCGCCGGACCCTTAATCACCGATTTGATTACTCCAACCGGTCTTGGGCTTCGGAATGTGGTCATATAAATGCGATCTTACTCCAATGCTCGTAGTAGCTCCAATAAATCCAGGAAAATGTTCCAAATCTGCAACTTCCTATTAAACAATACCAAATCTACGAAAACACTAGAAAACGCATATTAGTAACTAAAGTAGCTCCGTAGAGCTCAAATAAACACAATTATGACCATTGGGACGGGGAATAAATATATATATAAAATAGACTCATCAAACTTCCCCAAGCCAAACCTTTGCTTGTCCCTAAGCAAAGCAATGAATAAATAAACCAAAACTTCACCCCAATAATAATTTAAATCAAGCACAATCGATTCAAGGCAAATCCAACAAATATGCATTAATTAAAGTCAACCAATCAAATCCATCCAATTACTAATCCTCTCTAACAATTGTCAAGTAGAGTGAACCACAAGTGTATATGGAATTCAAGACTAGTAATCACGCACTCAACTCTCATTTATGTGGCGAGTAAAAGATGTACTCGATCGCCCTCCATCCAATCCCTTTAATGAGAACAATGTCCTCCCAACTCACGCACGCACTCGTGTGTTTAACAATACCACCTTTATGTCTAGTAGTCTACTAGTCTATTTACTAGATTACTACCTCTTCTTCTTCTTTTTTTTTTATTTTTTTTAATTTTTTTTTTAAAGATATTATTACCTCTGTTACATACTTTCGATTTTTTTTCTTTTTATCTCATAAATAATACCTTTATGGTGCTTACACTTTTCTTTGTAGGCAAAGCCGACAGAGATTCACGAAGGTTTCCAAGCCATCATGAGGTGCGCAAATATTTAGAAGATTTTGCAAGCGAGTTTGGTCTGAATGAATTAATCAGTTATGAGACAGAGGTGCGATATGTTGGGTTAGAGACGGATGGAAAGTGGATGGTGAAATCTACAAGTGTTGGTGGAGATGAGAGCAGCGAAGTGGCTCAAACTTATGATGCTGTGGTAGTCTGTAACGGACATTTCACTCAACCACAAGTTGCTGATAACATTGCTGGTAATTCATTTAGGAATAATTGGTTTTAACTATCTTTCTTTTATTACTTTATTGAAATTACTACGTACCTTTCAAAATTTTTAATTTATTTAACTACTCTTCATTTTTATCATACATGCTAATTCATGATTCTAAAGTTCGCCAAGATTAAATCATTATTTACACAATTCGACACATCTATGAATTTTAAAATTTGCAACATATATAACCTTATGTTAGGTGATGGTTCTTGCTAGTTCTTGATAAATTGTTTTTTATCAATACCTTTTACAGGGTTTGACCTTTGGCCCGGGAGGCAAATTCATAGCCACAACTATCGGATACCAGAACCCTACAAAGACCAGGTATGTTTTTTATTCTATATTTAGTCATTATTGTGTTTGGAGTTCAATTGTTCATATTCAGAGAATTTGCACATAGTGCAACGTTTGTGTGCAACTACCCCACTTACTTCTTATTTTATTTAAGTCAATTAAATTGCCTAAAACAATGCCGTGCCGATCAAGTGTAACATTTATTAAAACACGGAGGGAGTATATTAGAGATGTATGTTGCTATAAGTTCTATCAAGGGACTTTTTATGGTTTTCTTTGATTGTATAATCTTCTTTCCTTGCTTTCTCTGCTTTGTTTTGTCTAGAAATGACGTCTTCTTGCTTCCATCAGGTTGTCGTTGTGATAGGGCTTTCTTCTAGTGCTGTCGATATCTCTAGGGAAATAGCTTTATCAGCCAAAGAAGTCCATGTAACAACTAGATCTAAGGCAGCAGGAAAATTGGGCAAATTTGGAAAACATCATATTTTTGACAACTTGTGGCTCCATCCTATGGTAAAAACTACTCAAATAGTGGGAGAGACTAATAGCCTTCTCGAAAAGTTCATTTAACGCACTGTTTATTTGTTTGTTCCTAATTCAAGAATGAGCTAAAGAATTTCCCATCTTGCCTTAATGATGCAGATAGAAAGAGCCCATGAAGATGGTAGAGTGTCGTTTCAAGATGGGAGCTCGGTCCTTGCAGACGTCATTCTCCATTGCACCGGGTAATTTGCTAGGAATTTTCTTCCCTAAAACTATTTTGTTGGTTAAACTATAAACTAGGTGGGTTTATCAAGTGGCAAAATCATAAATAAATCAACAAAAATGTCTAATCAGCATGACATTCGTAATTATATCAAGTATATATGGGTTCCATATATACTAAAAAGTTGTTAATTTATTTATAGTTTTGCCAATAGTTAAACTAGAGGATGGTCGAATTTAGATACTTGCAAATGCATTCGATCAAAGCCATGTACCCCTTGAGATTTTACTAGCTACGAACACTAGATGAAGTCTGCACAACTAAATTTTATTTGATCAAATATCGTATAAAATTGAATCCAAAAATACTAATGGACTTTCATTAGGTATAAGCAACATTTCCCTTTTCTTCACACCAATGGTGTTGTTAATGTTGATGATAATCGTGTTGGGCCGCTTTACAAGCATGTGTTTCCTCCTTCATTAGCCCCTGGGATATCCTTCATTGGTGTGCCATCATTGGTAAGATTTCTTTTGGTATTATACTTATATTTCATATGTTGTCATCACTAGATACCTAAAAAAAATGACCGAGTCTTTTCAAACATAATGCTATGCTAGATTCTCTCGTTCTTCGTTTATGAACTTCAAAGTAAGTGGGTAGCAGGCGTTTTATCTGGGCGTATATCACTTCCCTCGGAAGAAAAGATGATGGAGGATGTTGAAGCCTTCTATTCAAAATTGGAAGCTAAGGGAGTTCCAAAGCGCTACACTCATAAGATCCATGATGTTAAGGTACGTAATTAAGTTCGTTTATTACTCGAGTTAAATTGATTACCTTTGTCCTTTGGTACTTAATTTCATGTACTCAACAACTAAGAAATTGAGAAAGGCTTCGGATCCTCTCAACTCTTTAATTTACTCCTTGGCATTTAACATGGATAGCCAATGTAACTAAATTGAGAGCTTAGGAAACGGTTTTGTATTAGGCTATCAACATCATAATAGTAACATTGTGCAAGACTCTAAAATATAATGGATTGATTGACAATGATTATGAATTTATAATTCATGAATTCTTTTAGATTAATTTATTGTGATAACTTTGTGTTAAAACAAGTTGTTATAAAATAGTTAAAGATAACCTTTCATGTCTAGTTTGCATAATTGTTGTCGTTCCCTCTTGATGAAATGAAGGAATGATATGTGGATCAATTGACTTCAATAAGATGTTTGGATTTTCATGCAGCAACTCTCTTGGTCATTAGAATATGAGGATTGGCTTGCTGCACAGTGTGGTTGCCCTCTTGCCGAGGAATGGAGGAAGGCTATATTTTTTGGGAGATTAGTCCATGCGCATAAAGAACCAGAGACTTATCGTGATGAATGGGATGATCAAGACTTGGTCTTCCAAGCTTATGAAGATTTTATGCAATACCTGAATGCTGAAGGCAGGGCTGCACTTGCTGCATGCGCCTCGACACCAAGAATTTAAACTCTATTTCATTGATGAAAGATTTTTTAATTGGGAGTTTTGTCGTTTGTGTTTGAGAACTTTTCTAGTGAGAAAGTGCTTGGTATTGTAAGACAAAACGAAGGCCTGTATAAGCTTCTCATTTTAGTAATTCTCGCCTATAATATTTTATTTTATTTTTAAAAAAAATATACCATCAATAATTTTCTAAAACATCAAATTTTAATACCTCTTTGCCCAAAATCTCTTACATGATGTCACTTTGGGAGTTTTTCCAAAATTTTCTGATTCTCACTGCTTCTCTCTTTCTCCTCTTTTCTTTTCAAAATTATTGTTTGAATCTGTACTTTGACTGCATAAGAAACACATAGGGGGGCCAAAAGTGAATAACAAAGACAACATTGGAGAGGCGACCAAAAGGAGACTTGTGGCACTCAAATTGACGCAAATTGGACAAAAAGCTAGGTAAATTAGGTTTTTTTTTATTATTTTTTTTTATTTGACTGTGCTAAGTTGAACATCAATTATAATCATAATAATGTTCATCACAATGTGAAATTGACAAATTTTGATCGAGTTCAATTTCCCGAATGCTTCACCATAATTAAATCCCCAATTTGATTTCAAAACCCTAATTTCATTTTAAAATCTTAAATTAAGTTGCTGAAAGCATTACACAACAATACATACCTTTTTCTTCAATTGCATTTGAGTATTGAATCAATAAGAATAATTTTCAAAACCCATAAAGTATATTGAGTATTATTTTATTAAAAATTACCATAAAGAATATGTTCTAAGTAGGGGTGAGCAAAAAATTAGGGTACTCTGAATCAGAACCGTGGCCTGTTAGGAACCGCAGGAACCGAAACTTGTATAAGAGGTTCCGGTTCCAGGTAGCAAAATGGAGAACCTGTTGCAACAGGTTTCGATTCAGGTTATCAATTTTTTGGAACCGAAACCTATAAGGTACCCTGTAGCCTAAAATGTATCACTTAAGTTTAAATTATACACCAATTCTAATCTATTTTTTAAAATAATAAATATCAAAATTACAATTATAAATACATGTATTAAATTTGCTCAACAATTACTATTAGTTTGTTTTAAACATTATAAATTAGTGATCATCTAGTTTTTTTATAAAAAATTCTGCAAAAAATTATTAAGTATATTACAAGACAGGGTACCCTGAATCGGAACCGGAACTTGTAGGTTCCAATTCCGGCCGGTTCCCAATTTTTAGGAACCTGTTCAACAGGTTTTGATACCGGTTTCCAATTTGAGAAACTTGTTACAATAGGTTCCAGTTCTAGGAATTTTAACAGGGTACCCTATTATGCTCAGTTGCTCACCCCGACCCTTATTCTAAGAGTTAAAATAAAAAAAACACAAGTGAGGTACATTTTTTTTAATGGTAAGAAGAAGGGGCTCATTTGAGGGGGGGGGGGAGATAAGGGAAATCCCTCAAATGAGTCTCATGAGTTTGATCCCTAGACCTCAGAAATACGAGGTAAGAGCGATGTCACTACTCCATCACCTCAAGCTCACACAAGTAAGGTACATGTAAAAAGAGATACAAAGTACAAAGTAAAAAAATATGTACCCGGTACTAGGGCTGTCAAATGGGTCGTGTCGTATTGGGTTCATGTTCGTGTCGATGTTAAATGAGTTGAAAAATCCTTGACCCAAACCTAACCCGTTTATATTAAACGGGTTGAAAACCCTTGACCCAAACCCAACCCGCTTATTAAACGGGTTACCCGGGTAACCTTTTACCCACATATTGTAGTATGTAATAAACTAATTAATATTCAATTTAAAAATTAAAAAGACATACATCATAAAATCATTTAAGATACTACATGAGTTTAAAACTAGTAGTTTTAGCAAAAGATACTACCGAAGTTTAGCTACAACCATACATAAGAATTATCCTAAATTAACCGCCAAGTTTTAACTTACAAAAGTTGAAAATTATAATTTATCTGTCAAATTAACCGCCAAAAAATTACCAAAATATATAAATAGTGCCAAGGCAATTTAAAATTACAAGTTTTGAATAAAAAATTCAGTTTTTTATACTACTTAATTACTAGTTTAAGTGTGTCGGGTCCGGATTAATGGGTTGTTGTCCAACCCATTTATATAATTGGGTTATGCGTGTCGGTTTCAATTCGGTTTGAAAATTTCAACCCAAACCTAACCCGTTTAATTTCGTGTCGATTCGTGTCGACCTAATTATGTAAACAGGTTAAGGATTCTTGACCCAAACCCGCTTATTTCAGGTCAAGTTTGTGTCGAGTTAACGTGTCGTGTCAGCTTATTGACCGATGGTTCAGAATTGACCCACTCAAAATTTTTATATCGTGTCGTGTCAGCTTTTGACAGTCCTATCCAATACATATAAAACGACCGATTTAAAAATGTGGTGCACTCAAGCACAAAAGTCAAGTCAAATTTTAGCGAGTTTATTGACCCATGGTTCAGAATTCACCCAACTCAAAATTCAAATCATGACATTAAAGAAAAACAACTACTCCGTGCTCAATATCACGTTACTATTAAAAATGCCTCAGTTTTCACAAACCACGTTGACATTATCAGTGCACAATTTCCCAAAATGCCCCTCCCGTCAACATCGAAGAAAGTGGCCGTGATCGGCGCCGGAGCAGCCGGCTTAGTGGCGGCGCGTGAGCTTAAAAAGGAAGGTCACAATGTGGAGGTGTTCGAGCGTAGTGCTCAGTTGGGTGGGTGCTGGGTTTACTCACCCGAGGTTGAGTCTGACCCGCTTGGACTCGACCCGACCCGAAAAGTCGTTGGGTCAAGCTTGTACGCTTCTCTCCGCACTAATATTCCTAGAGAAGCTATGGGTTTTCGTGATTTTCCCTTTTTTCCTACTGGTAATCATCAATTTTTGATTCCTCATGTGTTTTTTTTTTTTTTTTTTTTAAATTAATAGTATAATTACATTAGAGTATAATCTAATTTGGTTTGGGTGGAATGAATTATTGTAGACTGTTATGTTTAGGTTGTTTTTATTCAGTATTTAATTAGTTTTGGTGCTGGAAAATACGGGCTCCTGTCAGTTGATCTCTTTAATTTACTTGCAAAGCAAATTTGGAGTATGTGATGGTATATTTGTACATACTTCGTTCGTTACAAATTAATTTACGCGTTTTGACTTTTGACACTATTCATAATATGTGTGAACCATGCAAAATTGAGTAAAATTATAACCGCAAGTGCAAAATTATGCCATGAAATTAGTTTTTAGCGTCAAGAAGATTAGATAATCTTGTATTTTCTCAAAATGTAGTCTTGTTGATCGGATATTCTAACACTTCGACCATATGTATGTTTCAATATAATAACGTAAACGCCACTTGATTACTTGAAATGTGAGTTTTGTAAATTAGGAAGTTTAGCTTGTCTTTTATCGAGTTTTTACAATGGAATTTGAAAGTAGCAATGGTTTTGGTGGAGTAAGGAACAAGATTTTGTTGGTTTCTTGTAGCATTTTTAAATCTATGTTCTAAAGAAATAAATTAGGATGTTCTAGTTTTGGTATAATTGGATTGAAGGAAATGGAGGGAAAGGAAGGGAAGAGAAATGAAGGGATGGAATATCTTTCATTTGGATAACAAATGAGTAAGAAAGGGAATTGGAGGGGAGATAAATGGAGGGATTAAATTGTAGGAAATTGATCCCTCCATTAATGGAGAGATTCAGAAGGAAAACTCACCCTTCTTCCCTCCCCTCCTCTTCTCCTCCCTCCGCTTCTTTTCCTTCCCCTTTCTTTATCCAAACACACTATAAGTCTTTAACTGTGAATGAATGCAAAGGTATATACGAAATAAGATATTGTTACCATATGTGCTACCTCTATTCATGTTCATTGAAAGGTGATCATTTGCCCAATTCCAAAAGTTGAAAGGGGATAGAAGTTATGAAAAGACAGATGGGAGGTATGGGTAGCATTTCTATTGTTTTGTTTGATTAATTATTTTGAGTTATTATAGAAGAAAAGAATGAAATGAAAAAACTCCTACCCCTTGAAGTTTCAGTAATTGTCATTGATCCCTATGCTTTGTAGACATTTATACTTTGTTCGGATTAGAGAAAATAAAGAGGGGGTGGGGTGAGTTTTCCTGGATATTTTCCCTTACGTTTTGTTTGGATAGGAAACAAGGAAGGAAAGGAAGGGGAGGGATAGAAGAGGATGGGAAGAGAGAAGAAAGGGAAGGGGAGGTGAGCTCCATTTTCCCTCCAAATCTTTCCAATTTTGGAGAAATTATGCTTATTAAAGAGAGAGGGAAAATGGATCCCTCCCCCTCCTTTCCTTTCCTTCCCCCAATCCTTTACTCAAACAAGAGAGTTTGTCCCCCTCCCTTTCTCTTCCTTTCATTTCCTTCTATCCAAATAAAGTGTTAGTCTTTAATAAACATTGTCACTCCAAAAATTGGGTAAGGGGTTGGGGGAAGGAAGGGGAGGGAGAAGGAGAGTTTCCTAATCTTTAATAAACACCATCCCGCCTTCGGACCTTCCCCTCCCCTCTCGTTTCTTCTCTTTCCCTTAAATCTTGCTATTTAAAGTGCAAGTGCTGTTAACTAATCATTTAACTATAAAATATTAGTTTATCAACCTTTATGGGAAAAATTGCTACCTTTTATAGTTTAGAATATGATTTTTGAATTTGGGACATGAAACTTGCATTGTGTATTATTTGTACGGGCCGACCCTTAGGAGATGACGCTTCTTGTTGCTGTTGACTTTAGGTGCAAAACTTATGTGAATTCTGCAGGAACTTTAGAGTTCTGGAAGGAAACTAATGTATTACATGATGGAAAGTTTGAACACAACCTTTATGACATGCATTTCGATTAGTAGTTTTGAGGTTCTGTGATTGATTTTCTGGACTAGAATTACTGGTAATGGTGCATACCTTTTTGTTTATAGGCAAAGTTGACAGAGATTCACGAAGGTTTCCAGGTCATCAGGAGGTGTTGAGATATTTGGAAGATTTTGCTTTTGAGTTTGGACTGAATGAATTAATAAGTTACCAAACAGAGGTGAGGCATGTTGGGTTGGAGACAGATGGAAAGTGGATGGTGAAATATAGGAGAGGTGGTGGAGATGAGAGCAGTGATGTGGCCAAAACTTACGATGCTGTGGTTGTTTGCAACGGACATTACACTGAACCACGAGTTGCTGATAATATTCCTGGTAATTAATTTGTATTTTTATAACTGTTTCGTTTTAAATCTTTGAAAGAAAGGTATTGGATTACAAGTTCAGCTCTTTATTGCTGTGTTGTTTATGAGGGATGGGAGATGATAATCACTAAACTCTGGTCTTTGAAAAAAATCACATAACTCTATTGTTAATAGTGTTATATCACTTGATGTGTAACATATTATAAGCATGGAGTCTTGAAACCACCTGAAAACAGAATGGGTTATGAAATTTTTTTCACTAGTATCGTTAAGTGCCCCATCTTTTTAAAAGTTGCTGATTCCATTCTGAACATGGGCGGAACTTCTTGGTTTTGTGCAGAGCTCGGTCACATACACTTGATATAACTACATACTTTGTGTATTCTAAGTAAAATGTTGGCCATTAAGGTGTCAATCTGTCATGTTACTAATGTGAGGAAATATGCATCTTCAATTGAAGCACATTGAAAAGAGGCAACTGGTGGCTTCAATTCCATGGCTACTTTAATGCTACTTCATAATTAGGCAAGGTGGTGAACAATATGAATATCAAATAAGTATTTCATTAGCCATTAATAAAATGACTGACAAGTGAAAACATCTCTTTTGAAACATTGCATGGAGATGAGTAGTATTTTTAGAGATTGATTATATAATTATCTGCCATTGATATGTCTTATGCTGACAAATTTTGAAAATTATGAATAACATACAAGCTAAGCTTTCTTCTTGTTGTTTCACAAGATAGAACCAATTTTTACACAATTTTACACGTTCGTGAATATTAAATTTTTTTTACATGGTCCTATGTTGGGTGATGATGCATGTTAGTTCTTGATAGATTTTTCTTTGATGCCTCCTACAGGCATTGACCTTTGGCCGGGGAGGCAAATTCATAGCCACAATTATCGTATTCCAGAACCCTATCAAGACCAGGTGTGTTTTTTTATTCTATATTTGGTTATTCTGTGTTTCATATGACTTGATCATACTAAGAATTATAGATGCACAGAATGCAGTGTTTATGTGTAATTGCAGTCAATTCTATGAACTCCCCAAGGGAAGTTTTTTTGGCTTTCTTCGAATTGCATTATCTCCTTTCCTTATTTTTCTCTGTTATGTTTGTCTAGATATAACTGTTCTCCTTTTTTCAATGTCTTGTTGCTTCCATCAGGTTGTTGTTTTGATTGGGTTTTCTGCTAGTGCTATTGATATCTGTAGGGATATCGCTGTATCAGCCAAACAAGTCCATGTAGCAACTAGGTCTGAAGCAGCAGGAAAATTTCACAAATTTGGAAAGCAACCTGTTTATGACAACTTGTGGTTCCATCCAATGGTAAAATTACTCAACTAGAGGAAGAAACTGATAGCCTTTATGAGAATTTAATTAAAATTATCGTTCATTTGTTTGCCTTTTGTTAGGATGAGTTAAAATGGCATTCTTCTTCGCTAAATAATGCAGATAGAAAAAGCCCATGAAGATGGTAGAGTATCGTTTCAGGATGGGAGTGTGGTTCTTGCAGATGTTTTCCTCCATTGCACCGGGTATTTTGATTAAAATATCTATCCTTGAGCCTTTTTGTTTGGTTTTGCTATAGAGACTGAAAGAGAGTCGACTATGAATAGATGCAGATGAATGACATCTGCACGCTTCCATTTTATATGAACAAAATGCTGTAAAAAGAATAGAATCATTATTACTGATGGACTGATGCGTCATTTTTCAGGTACAAGCAACATTTCCCTTTTCTTCACACCAGTGGTGCCGTAAATGTTGATGATAATCGTGTGGGGCCGCTGTACAAGCATGTGTTTCCTCCTGCATTAGATCCAGGAATCTCTTTCATTGGTGTGCCATCATTGGTAAAATATTTTGGTGTTACACTTTCTTCTATCTAGAGGAGTAATTTTCATCATTAGATAGCCAAAGAAATTGACCAAGTCTTCTCAAATTCCATGCTAGGTTATCCCGTTCTTCCTTTTCGAACTTCAAAGTAAGTGGGTAGCAGGCATTTTATCTGGGCGGATATCACTTCCATCCAAAGAAAAGATGATGAAAGATGTGGAAGCCTTCTACTCAGAACTGGAAGCTAAGGAAGTTCCAAAGCGTTACACACATAGGATCCATGATATTAAGGTAACTTTAGAAGAATGATTTACTTCTAAACTCTTTGCTCCTTGGTGTATGTTTAGCCTGGATTAGCTCATGTGAGTTATGTAACTAACTTGAGAGCTTAGCACACAATTGTGCATCACGCTATCAGCTTCATGCTAGAAACATTTTTACAGGGGTCTAGATTTGACCTGTAAAAAATTGGGACAGTATCTTTATTAATGGCTGCATCGGCCTTGATTATGAATTTTAAATTCCAGAACTCTTGCTACTGTGCTAATTTTGTGTTAAAAGAAGTTGGTACAGAATACTTTGTTAGATTGTTGATAAGCAGCTACTCCCTTTGTTACATATTATGTGCAACTTTTGGGTAATATTTGTGAGAGAAAAAATTCCAAAGTTGCACGTAATATGTAACAGAGGTAGTATATATATTACTTACTGACCAGCTAGATTTTGATGTGTAATTTGCATAATATCGTTACCTTGGGAGTGAGTTAAAATGGAGGAATGATATGAAAATCTCTAGGAGTCTAGGAATGGATTATTCCACACTGAATTTTTGTTGAAATTGACTTCGATGATGGAATTTTACGCAGCGGTTCTTTGGGTCATTTGAATACGAGGATTGGCTTGCTGCAGAATGTGGCTGCCCACCCGCTGAGGAATGGAGGAAGGGTATGTTTTTTGGGACATTCGTCCGCGTTATTAAACAAATAGAGACTTATCGTGACGAATGGGATGATGAAGACTTGGTTCTGCAAGCGTATGAAGATTTTATGCAATACTTATCGGCTGAAAGCAGAGCTGCAATTGCTGCTACATTATGATTTATAACTCTGTTTCATTGATGAAGAATTGTATTCATTGTCTAATCCTACTGGTTTAAATTGCAAAGCCCAAGCACCCAATAAAGAATTACTACTACAATAAGAGAATGTATATGGTTGCACACTTGCACGAGATTAGCAACCATGCACATTGTGGTCTTGGTTAGACGATATAATAAATAAATAATGGGTTTTTTTGCTACGTAGCAACCCCGTGTTTTTTCACTATTCTATGTTGTACCCCTTCTTTTGAAAGTTCCACACCATACCCATATAATACCCTTCTAATGCCAAGAATTTTCTATGTTATGTCCTTGTGATTTTTGTTTTCCAACTAAGGTGTATCCTTTTTTCAAGTCAATTAGCAGAAATGAAAGAGAGAGAATTTTAAAAACCAAAATCTGATTCTGTAATTATTAAGTTGCGTAATATTGTTAAATACAACAATGTATGCCCAACATCATTGATGTGATCATTTAACAGGAGGAGATGCAAGGAGGAGAACAAGATACCAGTGATAGAAAGAAAAAAAGCTTTTATAATAAAATATAGGAAAAATACACTTTAATAATCTCAACTATTGACGATTTATTTTTAATAATCCCAACTAAGGTTTATCATCTAGTAATCCCAACTTTGCTCTGAGTTTGCCTCCAGTAGGCCCAATCTGTCAACGACTTGTTATAACAGGTAACTACGACACGTGTCAACACGTAATTGGTCCAAAATTTAAAAAAAAAAAAACTCAAAATTTCCCAGCCACCCTTTCCCCCACCGTCAAACCCTAACCCCACCCCTGACCTAAGTGGGAACCGGCTAGACCCCCCCTAACCACCGAAACCGGTCGACCGGCCCTTTACCACCCATCGGACCTACCCTCGACCCCCAAAACCATCCACCCAGCCCACCCTAACCCCCAAAACTGCCGACCCAACCCACCCCTCGACCATCGAAACCAAGCACTCTTCCTTCCTCCGCTGCCAATACCGCTCCTTCCATCCCTTCCCCCACCGTCGAAACGACTGATTTTGAGGTTGGGGAAAGGGAGGAGGGGGCGGTTTTGGCGGCAAAGGATAGGAGAGGGCTTGTTTTGAGGTTCGGGTGGGTTGGGTTGGTGGTTTTTGAGGTCAGGGTGGGTGGTTTCGAGGGTCAGGGGGTGGGCCAGATGGGTGGTAGAGGGTCGATCAACCTTTTTCGAAGGGGAGGGGGGGAGGGGAGTGGAGTGGCCGACCGATTTTTGGTGAGGTCAGGAGTGGGGATTAGGGTGCGACGGTGGGGGAAAGGGAGGCTGGTAAATTTTGGTTTTTTTTTTTTTTTTTTAATTTTGGACCAATCACATGTTGATACGTGACTATTAAATAATAAAAAAAAAACACTCTTTCAGCAAAGTTGGGATTATTAGATAATAAACTTTAGTTGGGATTATTAGAAGTAAATCGGCAATAGTTGGGATTATTAATTAAAGTCAATTTTTCCTAAAAATTAAAAAAAAAAAAAAAAGTGTCCAACCCTAAGGACAATCGTGTTAAAGTAGGATATGGTAAGAGTATTTTAGCATTTAGAAAAAAATGATATTAATGTAACAATTCATAAATGGAAAATGGCGAGCGAATGAAACAACGAGAGAAAACCTAGGGTTAACGAGTGAGGAAAATGACATTCTTCAGAGATCAAATAAGAAATTTAAACGGCATTTCGAAGAATCTGACAATGGAAATTCGATGGAAATTGAAATGGTGAGGGCGGAAGGGGTTCCTAATTCTGTAGTTTAGAAGCAAGGGTCCTACCTGCAAGCTACGAGAGGAATGGCGGCTACAGTGAACCCTCTGTTCAATAACAGCGTTGATGATGAAGATGTATCGGATGATGATGTTCCTAATGAATTTGATGATGGTGACGATGAGCGTTGCCCAACCATCCTATTGACAAAAGAGGAGAAGCATAGACAATTCAAGCCATGGGAGAGTGCCCTAATTATCAGACTCTTTGACAGAAAATTGGGGTATGAAGTCCTTGTTTGAAGATTGAGATTAAAATGGAGCTTAAATGGTGATAGTGCCTTAACAGATGTAGGTTGTGCTTATTATATTGTGAGATTCAACAATTTGGAATATTATGATTATGTTATGACTCAAGGACCGTGGATTATTAGAGATAGTTATTTGAATATTCAAAAATGGGTTCCAAACTTCATCCCAGATGAGGAACCTATCAAGAAGCTGATGGCGTGGGTTAGAACTCCTAATCTCTTGGTCGAATATTTCGACAATGATTTTTTGCGCAAGATTGGTTTGAAAATTGGAAAGGTAATCCGCATTGATAAACATACAGAGTCCAAAAATCGTGGCCAATTTGTTCGATTTAGTATTGAAGTAGATTTAACCAAACCTTTGTTGGCTAAGTTTCGAATGAGTGGAAGGATTTGGAAGATACAATTCGATGGTTTGAGGCTTATATATATGCTTTCAGTGTGGCAAGCTAGGCCATAAATATGATCAATGTGGCAATTTTGCTGCTGGAATTACAGGGAACTCGAAGGTGTCGGATGTAAACTCAGTGGTGAATATGGGTAATCAACCAGGCAAAGATTGTCGTCCAGAAATCCATGACACTTATGGAGCTTGGATGATTGTGCAAAGGTCTTTGCGGAAATTCGGCCACAAGGATGGAGTTGGGGCAAGAAGTAGGCAAAATTCTCATGATCAACATAAGAACGACTAGCAAAAGTCTAGTCAGGCCAAGAAGGGTGGGCAGTGGGTGCCTAGGCCAAACCCAGGTGACTCACCAGAGCAGCAAAGGGTCTAGATTTGGTGTGTTACATATTGAGGAAGATATGGAGCCGATTTCAGAGTCCTTGCCTAGGAATCAAACTAAGGAAAGTCCTATTTTGGACAAGGAGGAAGATATAGAAGCAATGAAGGAGGATATGATAAATTTGGGGGAGGGTCAAGATATGGCAATTGAAAATCTTAACTCCTTTAATGGAGAGGAACAGAATATTATGGACCAATCAGCAGTTGATCTTGGCAATATTTCCCAACTGAAAAAAGATAATGTTGGAAACAATAATGATTTGGTTATGGGCAGTAGATTGTTATCTAAGGAAAAATTATCTTTACAGCTTAATAAAGATAAAGATATTAGGCAAAGAATCCCCCTCTCAATGAAAAATAATGATTCGTTTCCTAGTACTACTTGCGTAATTAAGAAGAATAATAATAATTCCTCTTCCAAATTTTCCAGACCTTATTCACTTTCAAAATCGAATTCGGGTAAGGAGAATTTTGTGGAGATAGCTTCGTCAACCCCTTCAGCCTTGCGCAATCAATTTGGTTCAGAGAGTGCTGGTAGATTGGAAGTCCCTCATGAATTGGCAAAGCATTCCAACATGCCTGGAGACCCGGATCCCCCTAACGTTCGACCTGTTCATCGATTATCAAACAGAGGGTCCATCGATGGTGTCATGTCATCCTCTAGCGAACAAATTTGTGTTCGAAGTGAACACGTACTTGCCACTGGAACACAATCCTCCGGATATGATGGCTACGTTTCAGATTCTGTACGTGACGAACGGTCCGATAAGAGCGCTGAGGGAAGCGTATCTTTCACTTTGCCTAACATTCCTTTGAACGTTTACGACCACTTTCCTATCTTTTCAGAATTTAATATGTCCTTTAAAATAATGATTTGGAATGTTCAGGGAGCAGGGAACAAAGTCACTCTGATTAGAGAAATAGTCCGCATTAATAATCCAACGGTCTTAGCGTTGGTTGAGACTCATCTAAGTGGGGAGCAAGCAAAATGAATTTGTGATAGCATTGGATTTTCTGGTCAAATGCGTGTAGAAGCTCAGGGCTTCGTAGGAGGTATATGGTTATTTTAGAGAACCGAGTTAGTTAGTGACGATCTTAGAATTTGGCAGCCATACGCAGCATCTTACAGTGGAAATCAAGAAGCATGGTGAAGCACCGTGGCTGTTTTCGGCGGTGTATGCAAGCCCGGATATTATACTTCGAAAGAATTTGTGGGAAGATTTGGAGCACATCAAGCATAATTACTCGGGTCTGTGGCTAATTGCAGGTGACTTCAATGAGACTACGAGTATGAGCGAGAGAAATGGTGCAGGTGGGTCTGAGATGGTTCGAAGATGTAGAGCTTTTGCGGAATGGATTGATAAAAATGAATTGTTCGATTTGAGGTGTTCAAGTCCTGTTCACACTTGGTTTCAAACAATTTTCTTGAGTCTTTTAAATTGGCTAGATTAGATAGGGGTTTGGTAAATGAAGCATGGAGAGTTCGATTTGATGAAGGAGCCCTGCGAAATCTCCCTAAATCAAAGAGTAATCATTACCCTATTCTAATTAGCACAAATGGCTTCGCTCCTATACCCTTGTCTTTAAAGCCTTTTTGCTTTCAAGCTGCGTGGATGAATCATGCGAAATTTGATGAGTTTATTCATTCAAAATGGGATATCAGTTCTCCCATCATTCTTTTCCTCCGTACTTTTGCAGAATTTTTGGCTACCTGGAATAAAGAAATTTTCCATAATATTTTTAGGAAAAAATCGAAGCTATGGACGAGGCTTGAAGGAGTACAAAAACGACTAGTAGCCGGTAAAGATAGACATCTCATCAAACTCGAAATGAAACTGAGAAGGGAGATGGATGAGATTTTAAATCAGGAGGAGATTTTATGGTTTCAAAAGTCGAGAGTTGATAGTCTTCGAGATGGGGACCGCAATACTAAGTATTACCATCTGTCCACAATCATTCGTTGCAGACAAAATCGAATTGAATCTCTTAAAGATGCGGATGATGTGTGGATTACTTGCCCTACGCATGTCAAGGAAATGGTTTTGAATTATTGGAATAATCTGTTTCAAGAAGAACCGAGTCCTTCACAGGCGAGAGACTTCTGCTAGATCAGTTTCCCTTCATTAGTCAGGAAGATCGAGATTTAATTTCTCGACCTTTTACTGGAAACGAAGTGAAGCGTGCATTATTTGGGATGAAACCGTTTAAGGCACCTGGCCCCGATGGTTTGCAACCCCTCTTTTTCCAACATTATTGGCAACTTGTGGCTCCAAGTGTTATCAAGCTAGTCAAGGATGTTTTAGATGGGAAATCGTTCCCAAAGGGACTCAATGATGCATTTTTGGTGCTAATTCCAAAGATGGACTCACCTCGAAAGCCGAACCATTTTAGACCAATTGGTCTTTGTAGCATCACTTACAAGATCGTTAGCAAAGTGATTGTCAATCGTTTAAAGCCACTT